CTAGCAAGACATATCAACTACACACGTTAAACCGAGTTATCACTCGATTGTGCCTACAATCCTATTTCATCGAACTAATATCCCTTTGTCTTGCGATATATTACCAGTCCAACGTAAGGTATGGTGTCAATCAACCTTAACCAATTCGACCGCTTTCTCGTCCATTAATCATCTGTTAATATAGATTCTGACATCTATGGTTTGGCCAAGCACTTTACAACATGATTAACCACCGAGTAGCCAGCGATATCTATCCCATAATCAGGAGAAACAAATTCTCATCTTGATACGCTACGACCCACCACGGAATCCATTGCGCAACTGAGCATAGCCTTTATAACCACCGTGTTAAGGTGACGTTTGACTATGTCAAGGCACGAAACAAATTACGGGGAATACCAATAGTTATCTCAGGTTAAAGGACAAAAGTGAGATATTATAATAATGTCGGTTTTGATTCATGACCATGAACCGACCATCATGTGGGTCAGCCAGTCACACGTTCCAAACGTGTACCTGTGACTGTAGCACGTATCCAATACATCATATATACACGTCACACTAGTCTTCATTTATTATCGTTCCCACGATAATAACTGACTATGACATCTAGTATTATTCCAAATAATACAGGGATAATGTTTATTATTAATGAACATGCAAATATAATAATAAACGAATAATCATATTATTTCATAAATATTTATCACAAATGTACATCTGTCCGTCTATGTATGAGTATAACTACAACACCAAGTTCCTACAATCAAGCCAAAGATATCCCTGTATGGCAACACCCAACGGCTGATGAAATTCAAGCTCTTCAAAAGAATGGCACTTGGGATATCAATGATCTTCCACCAAACAAACAGGTTGACGACTGCAAGTAGGTGTACAAAATCAAGTACCATAGTAATGGGGAAATTGAACGCCATAAAACTCGCCTTATTACCAAAGGATAGTCTCAAACACAAGGGGAAGATTTTCACGAAATATTTGCACCGGTGGCTAAGCGGCCAACAATGAGGGTACTATTTTGTTCTTAACTGGATTCTTTCTAAGATTTGTCTCATCGAATTTCGCCGACCAATCTTGAGGGAGCATGTTGAAGAACAAGAGAGTAATCAACACAACACGAGCAGACTTGAGGAGCAAGAAACGATCGGATTAGATGGGCTATGAGTGGATTAGGCCCAAGGTTGGTCCAATACACTTGATCAGATGGGCGACGAGCTATTTAAGCCCAATGTAGGCCCAAGGAGTTAATGACAACAAGAGAAATGGGAAAGAAGATCATAACAACCAAAATCAAGCAAGGAATAAGTTTCTTACCTTAAATGTACATAGCCGTTAGCCTCTTTCCATTTTGTACATGTCAAAATATCGTTATATGTATAACAACTCATGTAAACAATTAATCAAGTGAAATAAAGTGAATTCTTTGTATATTCACCCCCTCTGAAACCCTATGTGACAGTCCAGGATACCGTAGGAGGGAGGAGAGTGATTGTCAGTGCGAGAGACACAGACAAGAAGCGGATCCTGATGAGCTTTTGGGTAGGGGGTATAGGGATGAATCGAACGCACCGAAATGAGAAGGATCCGAGGGCTCTGTAGGTACGTGACTATACAATCAAAGATAACTTAAAGGAATTGATTGAGCTACTCATAGCAACAAGATGTGTATACCTTTTCGGTTGTCCATCTCGAGAGAACTCCAAAGTTAAGCGTGCTCGTTTTGGAGTAGTCTTAGGATGGATGACCTCCTAGGAAGTACTTTCCGGTATGTGTGCTAGTGAGGACAAAACACGCTAAAAGGTCTCATGTTGGTGTGTGAGGATAGCTTTGATATTTCTTAATGGCCTCGGGACGTTACAAATGGTATCAGAGTCGGTATTCTCCCAGTACGGTGTGGTTTGGGGACGAACCAGACAGAAGGTGGTGGGTCTGTGACAGTCCAAGATATCGTAGGAGGACGGAGAGTGATCGCCGGTGCGAGAGGCACGGACAAGGAACGACTCCTGATGAGCTTCTGGGTAGGGGGTATAGGGATGAATGGAACGCACCGGAATGAAAGGGGTCTGAGGGTTGTGTATGTATGGGACTACACAGTTAAAGATAACTAAAATGAATTGATTGAGCTACTCATAGCAACAAGATGCATCTACCTTTTCAGGTGCCCATCTCGAGAGAACTCCAAAGTTAAGTATGCTCGCTTTAGAGTAGTCTTAGGATGTGTGATCTCCTGGGAAGTACTTTACGGAATGTGTGTTAGTGAGAACAAAACACGCTAGTTGGTGTGTGAGGATAGCTTTAATATTTCGTAGCGAATTCGGAGCGTTACACCCTAGTTCATACTTGTCTTCTTCTTGGTCCAAAACCTGCAATCACTCATGTCCCAACCTATTCTTTTGTTACGTTCAACACGTAAATCTCCTCAAACTAAAGGTTTCTTCACTTATTTCATTCACTTTGGATTTACAGCGAGAGGAGGAACATCGTCATCCTCTTCAAAGGCTTCCCATAGGACTGTTCCTTTCATGAAAAACTTTATTTTGAAAGTCCATATCTGATAGTTTTCCCCGTCGAACATTGGTGCGGCCAGATTCGATAATGTCGAAGAACTTAATCCATCATTTTGCTCCATTTGCTCATAGATTTCGATTTTTTCTCACGATCCTACCAAGATCAAACAAACGCTCTGATATCACTGTTAGTTTTTGAGATTCTTTTTTTTTTTTTGAACTCACACTCTCACTGATACACTTTTGATCAGAACCAAAAAATTTCGGATGTATAGAAGAGATCTTCTGTTTTTCTTGAAAATATGCTTCCATTCATAAACGTTTTTGCTCCATAGTTTTATATATATAAACACAAACATATAACTACAACATAGAAGTTACAGACAATTTAATTCATAACACAAACTGAAACATTAACTACTAATTTGAAAATAACTGCTTCTACGGACTGTTGCACGTCAGAAACATTCTTTAATCTTCTGCTTCTCTTACACAGGCTTGAGTCAGTTTCTAACATACCCCATAACCCTCGCTTAAAAATATTGGGGTGAGTTCAGGCAAATAATAGGGATCAGATTTCGTGAGCAATAGTGGAATTAGTTTCACCTTGGCCATCGTGTTAAGATCTTTTAGCTTCCGAAGGTCAAATCCTCCTTCTTTCTTCATCCTTCAATCTTCGTTCCAGTGCAAGAATGTCTTCGAATTTGTAGAAATAAAAATGGTGATTATATTAGAGTACGACTCATTTGACTCACTATGATCATTCCTTATGATTAACTTCGATTCTTATGACTCATTACTATCTTTCTGTATCACTTGACCTATCAGTCTGACTCACTGTGATCCACATGCCTCAATGCGACCTATTAACTCATTACAAATCATGTGGTGCATACTAAATGACTCGTTACAATCTATATCACTGCAACCCATCCTTCGGAGTCATTCCGATACACCATCATTCAGACTCTTACACCTTATGCAACTTACCATGAACTTATCGAGACTTAAATCCTAAACTAAAACATCAAAATAAAGTTCAACATATTTGCATCTTTCATTACATACCCATTTCTACGTATGACTCACTATCCACCTACAGCTAACTACGATCATTTCGATATGTCTTTTACCATAAATCAAAGGTAAAGATAGATATACTTATTTTTTAAAATGACTACCCATCCATAGTACTCTCTTCCTCACAACTCCCTTTTAATGATGTTGGATTCTCTATATAATTTTTTTCCTCTATAAATAAAAAGTTTCAAGTCCTAAATTTATATACATCATTCATATTTTTTTCTCAAGTAGGGTTTTTATCCGGCAGAAAAGTATCTTTCTGGATTGAACATGTGACAATCCGTTCCCGAAATTATGGGATAAGATTGAGAAATCGTGATCGAGATCCGAAGAACCGAGGACTATAAGCTTTAAATCTCGAATAAGCTTTTTAAATAATTTTAAAAGTTTAATAAGATGTATAGATAGAATAAAAATGAAGTTCCGTTAAATATTAGACTTTAATTGGAATGCAAGAAAGTCAGTTTTAGTATACTTTAAAACCCAAAAATTATTCTGAAAACTAGAACTTATGTCATAGACTGTCCAAACCAAACATAGGACCGAGCCGGACTTAAAGCTCAAGTATGGGTAGACATAATTCGATCGAACTATAGAGATCAAGAGGACGATTTTAGGTATAAGCCATATATATTCATAAAAAAATCCAGAAAACGAGATACTAAATTATTTTATAAATTTTATATGATAGTAACGTAACACACAAATTTAATATATGTATTTCAAAATACGATCATGATTACGTGAATTATTTAGGATATAATGAATTATAGCTAATGAGATATAAAAGGCAATATAAAATATTATTATACGCAATCTATAACATTAGCAGTCGTATATATTTAAATGTATGTGTAACACATAAAACATTATTTCATTGATAAATAATACAAGAGTTCAAGATTGAAGTTGCACAAGAAGACAAAGGTATAAGCATATAATTACATATTTAATTATATGCATATTGACACAGACGCACAACATTAAAATGTGTGTATAAATTCTAAATAAAATTTTTTAAAAAAAAAGAGAAAATAATGGCATAACACTAATCTAGGGCTAAAAGTCGACACCAATACCAAAATATTTCATGCGCTAATCATTCTCCACTAATTTAAATGATGGCATAACACTAATCTCATTCGGCTTCTTCTGCACTACTTTTCCGTAATGGCCTACTCTCTCTTTTCTCTCTACATACACGATCATCACTTCCACTCATTCCTTCACTCATTAATTTAATCACTCCCTCACTCTTATCCTCTCACATGCACGATCATATCACAATAATTAAAACAAAAATATATAAGTTTTCCATTATTCCTTTCCTCATCCACGGTTTATATTCTTCCCAAGCACTTTCACTCTTGTCCTTGGCATTTTTATCACATTTCTTCATCTCTCTTTGTCCCTCACACGACTCGCTCTCTCCCTCTATAATATCCAGCCATCTTCTCTTCGTTTTGTTACAAGAAAACTCCTGCAAATCCGGTTGAAACTCACACTTCGCGTTGTCCATAGTTCTCTTCGTTTTTGGTAAGTTCTCTCCATGTTGTTGTAGAAAAATAAAATGCGGAAATAAAATAAGACAAATAAGAAGAAACAGAATTACTTTTATTACTACATCTCTTCTTCTTGTGGTTACATTACAATGAAAATGAAACACATATTTATTGAAAAATTAAGAAATGGAGTAAAAAGAAAATATAAATGCAATGGAAACAAATCAGATACATAATATTTGGCATAATGATATTGTATCCATTATTATTCTCCATCATATCTCAAATCTTATTTTACTCCAATCACATATTCGTTTTTCCATTTTAACAGTTGTTGCAGCTCATTTCCTCCAAATTTTCGTCCCTCCTCCTAACATATTAGTGTGCATCTTCCAGCCTTTTACATACCTCTTCCCTCTCCATTTCTTGCAGGAAAAAGCTTCATCGATGGTTGGTGCTTTTTTTTTTTATCACATCCATTCTTCTTCGTTTGATAAGTTGTTCATCGTGTTGCCATGCTATTCCTCTATAAGTCTCGGTACATCTTCCCTAAGATGTTGCATGCTCTTTCTTCTTTCAATTACAGCAACTTTGATGAAGATTCAAGCTGCTCTTAAAGCTTTTTCATCTCCATTTTCGCTCACATATGTGTGGTGAGATTCTTTAAATTCTTGACTCCAAACAATTATCGTAATCCCCTGCATGTTTCAAGTTATATTTTTATCTGTCTCCTTGAGTGTCCTATGATGTTAACTAAGAATACTGAATGAGGTTTAACTCATTTGAAACCAAAGAACAACCTATCGAAAATATGTACCTCTAAGATCCTTTACAAATTGCCATGTTTGTCCATTTTGGTTCAAGAAATACTTTAAAAATTGAGTTCTAATTCATGGAAAATAGAAGAGAATATTTAGAACTCACTTATAAACAAAGAACAAACGAACTGAAACCAAGAAAACGAGCCACTTACTCCTTATGACTTTCGGACCTTTTTACTACCCACATACATGCTAAGTTATAACACAATTTAAATGCTTGAACAAGTTTCTAACACATTTTAAATGCTTAAACAATTAGCACTAAATCATAAAAGAAAACATAACTAGTTATGAAGCCAAGAATTCATCCCATAGTTATTAAACTCTCGGGCCCTCTTAGCTACTATTGTATGTTTGGTTAGTAATGGGATTATTGTTGGTTTAGTGCTCTATGATGAACTGTTGTATGAGCTTTCTTTTTATACATTTGATGTATTGACACTTTCTATGGATGAGTGTTTGATTCATTACGTATTGTGGATACTTTAATATGTTATGAAATCCATGTATTGTTATGAACAATACTAAACTCCCTAGTCATATATTGTTGTGGGAACAATGATATACTAAGACTAGTATGATGTGTGATTGATGATCATAGAGATGATCATAGGTATTGGATACGATCACAATCATAGGTATTCGTTGGAGAACGGAATACTGGATTGACCCGCATGAGATTGTCACATGGACTAGTATCATGACTTGAATCTCATATGACGATTCCATGATTGGATCCTATGACATGAGATATCTACGAATCTAACATGAGGAGTTGCATACTTTGAATACGTCAAACGTCCTGCATAACAGGAGGATTATAAAGGCGTGTATCAGGTACGACACGAATCATGTGCTGGATTGTAGATAGTCAAGATGGGATTTGTACCTCTCGTAAAAGAGAGAGATATCGTTGAGCCCCTCGTGTGAGCGAGACTGTAGGAATGTGTGGCCACACTATAGACGAACTTCGTCTATCTTGTACAGTCGAACTCAGTGAACGACAAAGCAGTCGAATCAGATAAGGTGGCTTCTTCATGCCTTATGTTCGACGTATGATATCGTGATACAAAAGGATCATCAACCAGAATCATCACCGACGTTCATACGAACAAACTCTATTCGAGATAGGTAGTCATAGTGTCTTGCTAGAGACCGCCTATGACTTGTATAAACGAAATGGAGATTTCGGATTATACTGCTATATCGGATGAGCCTACAGGGTCACACACACAAGAAAGGACAAACGTGCGAGAAAAGACGAGAATTTCCCACTAGAGTGGAGGCCAGACCGTTCATCCATAGGTCTGGACCAACCGGTCCAGCCAGACCGATCGGTCCAGACGTAGACTGATCGGTCCAAAGCTAACGTGCAAATGTTGCTTAGTCCAGAAAATGTTCCAGACTGATCGGTCCAGAGGCCTGGACCGATCGGTCCACATGCAAAAGCTCCAAATCGATCGGTCCAGGCATCGGGATTTCCTTATCTCGCCCAAATTAGGGTTTTAAGGGTAAGGAACTTTGGGGAACGCCTCGAAGCTTGAGGACACGACTTTCAGACCCTTTTGAGAGGTTTTGAGAGTGGAAAAACCTAGAGTTAGATCCCTGAAACCCTTGCGCAAAGAAGAAGTGTTCTTCAGTCCTAGTAGATGAGTTTCAACCGTTGGAATCCTTTCCGCCGTGTGAATACGTGTAGAGGGCGAGGTATTCTTCCTCGGACGAACTCTTCGATTGATACAGGCCCCGGATTGATTGAGGTAAGCGTTCTAACGTTTCTACAAGATCATGCATGCTAGGTTTTAAGGTTTTATCAAAAATTTTGTTTTACATCCGCTGTGCAAACCCTAGAACCGATCTCTTAGGAATTAGATTCGCTATAGAGATCCCAGGAATCCCAACAGTGGTATCAGATCCTGGTTGCTCTGTATAATTTTGTTAGAACCCGATCACGCACGTTATAGGATTTGAATCGTTTGAATCCGTGTTTGCTTTTGGATGCTATGCATGAATTGATTGTAGATCTAGAGTAGATTTCATGTTCTTTGTTTGCATAGTGTGCAAAAGGTTCGAATTCTGAGTTCACAGGCGAAAACCGGGTCAAATTTGGGTCTGAAACGGGGCCGAAATGACGAAAACGAGATCTAATCACGTTTTTCGTCTGGACCGATCGGTCTGGTCCTCTGGACCGATCGGTCTAGGGTTTCGCGTGTCGGTTAGACCGACAGATCTGGACCAAACGGTCCACACGTGTGGACCGATCGGTCTAGGCCAAGACCGAACGGTCTGGAGGTTCAGACCGAAAGGTTTGGACCGTTCTGGACCGTTCAGACCGATTCACGTAGACCGACCGGTCTAGGCTCTGGACCGATCGGTCCACATCCCGAGGTTAGACCAAAAATTTTGGTTCTTCGTTTCGGGATTTAGTTTGAGCAATAGTTGCTTAACCTGATCAACTGTGATTCAGAATAACATGATTCGTTCGTTTGGATGGTCCATAGTGAATGAATGCATGTAACTTAATCAAGATATTAGATATGCTTGATTGAATGGGAGCTTCGGGATTGAGATTACATAATCGAATGGATGGTCTATTCGAATTATGTAGTACATCTGATCAAGGAACAATGGTTGATCCTTGATTCGATTCGTACAATCGTTGCACAGAAACCGGTTAGATCTAGGAGCTCTGCGAGTAAAGCACTTGTCAAGGCCTCGATCGTACGTGTCATGGGTCATTGCCAAAGCTGGGTGTGTCGTGCTATCTTGGTGAGGCAAGATGGAGAAATGGTGGTTCTCATAGCTTGAAAGTAGATGCTTGATCTAAGTGTGGTTTTAAAAATCCTTTTTATGTAATGCTAAGCGTGTACCTTCCATTACTAGAGCATTTTTCAAGGCATTGATCGTCCGTAACACGTGTCATGCTAAAGTTGAGCGTGCCGGATTATCTTTGTGAGGCAGGGTGGGAAATCGTGGTTCCCACAGTTTGAATATGGTTTAGCTTAGGTTAAGTTGTCAAGTTTGACTTGAGACTTAACGGTATAGATGAGACGAGTATGCAATGATATTTGATATCATAGTCTCATAAAGGATCTAAGAGTCACATTGGATGTGGTTGACATTAGATGTCTACCTAAATAGCATAAGACTGAGTGTAACAACTCATTCTTATATGAAATATGGATCTTAGTCCCATATAGAAAATTATTGTAGGGTTATTTTTCTTTATGGGAGTATAGCTTGTATATGCATCGATGTTGTCATTGATTGATGATGGACTAGCTGGTAGTAGATCATTGATAGAATCTGCATTTTGTTTTGTTCAATGTGCTTTGTCTTTTTCTATAGGACATGGCGTCAACCGGTAATGTACCGAGTTTGACGATACGATCTATCTTTGAGAAGGATAAGTTAACCGGGACGAACTTCTTGGACTGGTATCGTAACTTGAGAATTGTTCTCAAGCACGATAAGAAGTCATACGTCCTGGAAGGGGCTCTACCACCAGAGTCTGCGGCTAGTGCCACGAGAGCTGTCAAGGATGCTTGGTTGAAGCATCAGACTGACGACAACGAGATTTTCTATCTTATGTTGGGAAGCATGGCCCCGTATCTGCAGAGACAATTTGAGGGGAAGAGCGTGTTTGATAAGATCAACCAGCTCAAGACCATGTTTGAGGAGCTAGCGCGTACTGAAAAGTACAAGACGCTGAAAGCTCTGGTGAAGACGGAGATGCCGAGAGGTAGCTCTGTCAACACCCACGTCCTTAACATGAGAGTTCATATTGAGAAAACTTGAGCGTATGGGAGTGAAGCTCGATGGAGACTTGGTCGTGAACCTGATCTTGATGTCATTGTCCGAGGACTGTAATCAGTTCGTGATGCAATACCATATGCACGGGATGACTAAGAGTTTAGCCGAACTGCATGGGATGTTGAAATCGGCTGAGCAGGATATCGTGGTCCCCAAGACTGTGCTTGTTGTTGAGAAAAACTCCGGCAAGAAGCGGCGAGGTAAAGCGAAAAAGAAGGCGGCGAAAAAGGTAAAAGTTACCTCTACGCCTAAGCCTAAGCCCGATAAGGGTGACTGTCATTACTGCGGAGTGTCTGGACACTGGAAGCGTAATTATCACCTTTATTTGGAGGATCTGAAGAACAAGAAGCTTGATTAAGCTTCTGCCTCAGGTATTCATGTTCTAGAAGCTAACATCTGTACTACATCTTCGTGGGTATTGGATACCGGAAGTGTCTCACACATTTGTGGAAATGTGCAGGGATTAAGAAGAAGTAGGATGCTAGCAAAGGGAGAAGCGGATCTGCATGTCGGAAATAGAGCAAGAGTTGATGCATTGTGTGTTGCCGTTTATGATTTGCATTGTGACACCCGTAACCCGTGTACAGTATATGGATTATGCCACATGGACGATATAATAATAAAATAATAAACCGCGGAAGCGAAAATACGAAATCCAAAAAAACACATTTTTCAAACCGATAGAGTATGCAGCGGAAATACAAGCGATCAGTATCGAAGAAATAACACATGTCCGAATAGTTATAATTTAACCGTACAAAATGCGGGAATACAAGTCTCGTAACCCAAAATGTAATTCCCGTACATGATGTTGCGTCTCTCAGGTCGTCGTCGGCTGGATGCGCTAGGCGTAATCCTCGTGATCTGAAAAAAATATAAACCACGAGGGCTAAGCACAACTGCTTAGTGAGTAGCCCGGGTTGAACCCGGTAAACCCGTTCTCAGCGAGGACGGTGTTAAATCGATAATTCACAAACAACATACAACAATAATATTCATGCATAATCACATCACATTAGTCACA